AGGTTTCATTTCTGGTAACAGAACTTCTGCCATATACAAATATTATGTTTCTGGACATTTGACTTTTAATAAGTTTGTCTATAATGTAATTCATTCATCTGCACTGTGCTGTGTCTGTAACTGGCCTTGCGGCTGTTGACTTGGCACATTAATAATAAAGAATTGAATTATTCATCCTTTTTTTAATCTAAAACACTGTCCTTTTTTTAAATACCAGGTTATTGTCCAGAAACATATTATTTGTATTAACGTTTAACTATGGACTTATAAAATGCTGGGAGCCCTCTGCGGCCGGTATTTAAATCGCCCTAATTAATTAACATTGCAAACTTTCAAGAAAAAATACACATTTTCTGTTCTATGCAACATAGAAATNTCTCGAAGCAGTCCACCGCACACAGAGCGACACCACCCCTTTTACAATATTTCTTATTTATTTCTTAATTAATAAAACACATGACATCTTTGTTTCCTTTTGGTTGGCCAGTGTTGTGAATATTTCACCTCCAGTTAACTCAGATGGACCCCCTGATAACTTTGGTCTTCCCCGTGAAATGCCACTGACCGTGATATTCGCCTTGTGTGATTGAAAAATCATCTTGGGGGAAGGGGGTTTCTAGCAAAATCAAATAAATTATATATTGACAAAGCGACACTCTCACCTGTTGGTAATACTCGCAAAATAGTGATGCAAAGTTATTATAATACCAGTTGAAAAGAGTGCCAGGCCAACACTGATACTGAAAGTCGCAGTGGCGAAGACGCCTTTTACTCACAAAGTATACTGGTTCAGTGGGTTTATACCTCTTCCAAGACGCAAAATAAAAATGATATATAAAGAAATATATGACAGTCTAACTGTGACTTTTTAACCGATAAAGAAATATTAGATAATCCGTCACTGACTTCCTAACTGATAATTCGTCAATGAAAACCAATCCTTGCATATGTCACACTTCCTTGAAGGCTCTGGAAGCACTCACATGCAAGCACAGAAGAATATTTCCTTATCAGTTCTCGAAACAAAGCTGGGCTATATTTGGCTGACCAGGTCATAAACAGCCATATCTAAACATAAATAGTATCAAAACCAGTATTGTGATAAATGATTTCTTTGTTCAGAGCTAAGGAATGAACCACTGACATGATCTCACGTAGGTTTGTTTTGGTTTCAAACCCAAGGTCAAACTGTCAGCACTCCCAAAGAGTGCATGTGTCCTGCGTCATATATATCTCATTCGGCCAACTCTGGCTTCTGCTTGCGTCATATATATGTGAAAGGTTAATGTATCACTTTCACAAACCTTTATACCTCATTTTCTGTCATATACCCATCAACTCCAGACAGCCAAGTCCTTCTTAACATGATGATACATATGGCTGGTTAAAACTTACGGGTAGTTCTGACACTTTAACACTCCATGATTATCTGAATTATTTTAATTACTGCAATTCTTTTTCTAAGAGTTTTATCTTCTAGGATAAAATGCCATATAGTCTGGTGAAAACTGGTCAACATTCTGGAGGAATGTATCACCTCCACCTTTGACCCTGTACATGGAGGCGATGTGCTCCTCCAAAACGTTGGTTTTCAGCAAAATATATGGCATTATATTCCAGAAGACAGAACTCTTCATAGCCACTGCTATGAGAACCTCAAATCCACCATTCTAAGATTCTACATCACTACAGCAAAGATTGATATATTTTATGCAGAGTGCTAAGAACATGAAGTTTCTGGCAAAAAAAGAATCACACCAAGCTGTGCAATTCCCACAATAAAAATATGCTGTAAATGAGAAACAGAAATGGCTAAGAATCAGGCCAAGTGGGTGCCAGCTACTTAATTACAGGTAACACATCTCCCTCCATTAAGAGAGTGTGATGGAACCAATTCTTTCAACCTAACAATGACCACTCCCTTAAGTCAATGTTTAAAAATAACTTATAGCTAACTAATTACCGCCATGCAGCGGAATCCTTCAGAAGCCACCAGTACCTCAGCTACTCAAAAATTTCCCAACATTTTATGGAACCTGAAGGTTCTTACCATATTTACAAGAGCCCTAAAATAATTTATAGCAGGAAAGCATAACAGAAGTGTATACAGAGCAGTGGACAATACCTCAGTCCCACAGCTGCTATAGGATGGTTTGAAATAAAGAGGTGCTTTAGCATCATTATATTGCAACAACTGGCCAGCTGGACCATTGGTATGTTATCACTATAGTGCAAAGCACAGCAATAAGCTTAATTATGACACTAGACAACTTTTAGGTATGGAGTCATGTACTTTTACACACAAATGATGATATTAGTTTGCAACCTTCTTCATATCTCAATTTACATTAATGTACTTACATTTTTGCCTTTCCTGCTATAGCATTCTTCTTCTTTACATATCTATATTTCTTGACATAAGCTTCAACAAGAGAGCTGATCTTGATGGGATTGATTTCGCCTGATCTATTATGGCATATCTGCAGAAAATAATATACATTTTCAGCAACTGGATTCTGAGGCACTAACTAACTACATGAAGAACACTGTCTAGCAGGAAGTAATAATGCCATGTAATCTGGTATATATTTACTATCATTTCAGAGAAACCTACTGCCTTCATATTGTGGGTAGTTCTACCTGGAGATGAAGGCAGCAAATTCCTTTAAATCTCACAAGTTATATAACTTTTAAATACATAGAGTGGGCACAAAGTTCTAGAAAATCTTACAGCTTTCAAACATCTTAAAATTTAATTTAATGATATCCCACCACCTTTGTGGTCAGAGTTCCTGGCTACAGATCCAGAGGTCTGGGTTCGATTCCCGGCACTACCAGATTTTCTGAGAAGTAGTGGGTCTGGAATGGGGTCCACTCAGCCTTGTGAGGATAATCAAGGAGCTATTTCAAGGAAATAGTGGCTCCAGTCTAGAAAACCGAAATTAATGGCCATGGGGATTTGTTGCGCTGAACATGCGACACCCTCTATCCATTACAAGTTGGCACTAACTTTGCTGACAAGGCTGCGTCATAGCTCAAGCGATTAGTCGCTGGCTTCCCACCACGGCGGCCTGGGTTCGTTCCTGGATCTGGTCAAGCGGGATTTGTGGTGGACAAAGTGGGGCTGGGGCGGGTCTTCTCTGAGTACTTCGGTTTCGCTTTCCAATCTTCATTCCACCAAATTCACCATCATCATAATCACGTGGGGCAGGCTACAATAGGCCAATCAGTGGCCGCTGTGGTGAGTGGACCCAGTTGGACTCCAGCCCCCACTAAA